GGTACCAGGGATCAAACTCAGGTCCTTGAGCCTGCAAGGCAGGTGGCAGAACCACTGAGCTAAATTCCCAGCCCTGTGTTTGCTTTTATAAAATTTTTAATAAATTATCTAAAAATTTAAGGAAATGTATTAATTCTTCACTGGAAAGTTATTATTAAGAGATTAAGTATCCCTTATAAGGTACCAGTATCAACAGGGAATGGTGGTACAAGTACATCAACACATCTTTAACCTGTTGACAAATTAGCATTATGTAGCTAATAAAAATGACTATATCATCAAAATATTTCTCCCAACCTATTGAAAACCTGAGCATATAAAATATATAGTTAATCCTACTTACTGATGGTTTCATAATTGTAAATATTCTTCAAAATGTATGTAATTTCTAAATTTGATCTGAAGAGGTAGGAGTTGTAAGACAACACACCATAAAATATTAATAAATCAAATATATGTCTTGTCAGTAAATGTTTTCTACTTAATTATGCAGTTTAAAATAACTGAATTCAGGGCTTGGGATTTAGCTCAGTGGTTCTGCTGTCTGCCTCACAAATGCAAGGTACTAGTTTGATCCCTATTACCAATAAATAAATAAATAAATACATACATTCAGAATATTTAATAATATCTCAAATAACTTTAAAAGTTGAACCTATCTAGAAAGTTAAGCAGTATCTTTAAGCACTTACAGTATTTAAAAATCTACGAAAGTAATCAAATTATAAAGAATTAAGTCTATAAGGAGGTTGTATTTGGAATAGTCCAGTGTTACTTTAAATATAGTTCATATTTTATATTATTATAAAGGCAAATAACAAGAGCTAAGTATTTTATTCTAATTGTCTTTCATAGCCATTTAAATTTTAGCCATGATTGTTTAATTTATAAAATACCCTGTTTTAAACCACATTTTGTTGTATAAAACATTGTTGCATTTTATTTATATTCTGTAGCAGCTAAGACAAAAAATTAAGTAATAATGTCATACTGAAAGGGTTTCAACTTCCTTTTAGAAGTTTCTTAAATGTTTATAGCAAACCTTCTCCTGCCAAAGGACCTCTTCTGCTCTTACCCTGCCAGTTAGCTTTGTAATTTCCTCACTCTTTCGATCGTCTTAGTTCAAATGTCACCCTAGCAATGAACCCTTCCCTGATCCCTTTTTCAGAATTGAAACTCCTGCTATATCAAAACACAGTATTTCATCTATTTGTATTTTTAGATTTAAAATATTTCTGGTAGGAAGCAGATACTTTCTTGGGTATGGTTATTTATTTGAATGTAGTTTGATAATTCCTTCCCTTTAATTGTGCTGTTTATATTATTTACATTTAATGGATGGCTCATATAGCAGGCTTTGTCTTTTGTCCTATTTGCTTGTATTTATCCCACTGACCCTGTTATTGTTCCATTTATCTTTTTTTCTGCCTTCATACCTTTTATGTCATTCTTACCTCCTTGGTGTATCAACAAAACTCTGATGAATGCTTAGAGGGGACCTGCATAGCTCTGCTGCAGAACAGAACTGTCCTCTCATAGTGTCTTGTGAAATATAAATGCCTTGTCTCGTGTGGACTCTAAGATCTGTTCTCTTACCTCACAATCTCAAATTCAAAAATTTTAAAGATCAGGATCTTTCCTACCTTGCTACAGGCTAGAAATAATCTCAAGATATTAAATTGACACTCTTGTAGAAATATGCTACTTTATTTATCATCTCTGTTATCTGGTCTCTCTTGTCTTAAAAAGGACTTTTTCATATATTTCGCACCTCTTTTTAATTTCAGGTGTTATGTATTGCTCCATTTTGGAGACAAGTAAAAACCAGACTGCTGAGTCAGCCTAAACCCTTTTTCACCCCTTTTCCTGCTGTTATATATTTATTTTATCTATTACATTTAGTTTCTCAAAGACACGCTTTGAAATTTTATTTTGAGGACAATGTAAAAATTCTGCCATCAACCAGAATGTCCAAAGTGAAAGAGAAATACAAAAACAATTGTTGGTGGGGATATGAAATAGTCTGACCTGTCATATATTACTGGGGAAGTTCAGACTTTTTCTACTATTTTAAATACATATTTGGTGGTATCTCCTATGGATGAACATAGATATACTATCTGACAGAATAATTTCACATCTTGATATATATTCAACAAAACTGCCCAAAGTGAAAGTGGATTGTCTTACTGCTATAAGCCATACTAAGTTCCATGAAAAAGTGAGTTATAATTCTTCTACATGATATTCATTTTCAGAAGTTGATGTTCATAGTCTGAAATTGTGTTGACATGCTGACCTTTCTCACTTGCTTTATCCTTGTTACAATAAACCTCCTATGGTTTGGATCTAAAATGAGGTGGAAATGGGAAGAAGAACTCTATTGGGAATTAAATCAGAGGCATTTATATTACTTTCTGAAAAAGAATTTGTCTATATTCTGTCCACATCTTGAGAGTTTGGGGATATTGAGTTTAAAGATGATGAGGTAGTTTATTTGGCAGGGGAAATTTCAAGTGGTGGCATGGGTATTACTGACTGCTTTTATCAAGATTTATGGTAAAATCTGGAGCAAAACCTGGCTAAAAGGACTTGAAAAGCTTGTAGTCTGGCCAGAAAGCGTGGGGGGGGGTAAAGTTGAGTCCAAGGTAGGTGTGGTTGCTTAAGAAATTAATATCAATAAAAAGAAGGCAACATTTTCCACCAGTATGGGTAGATGTCTTGAAGGCATCTCAGAATTAACCATATCCCATGCATAACAGACATAAGGAAATAAAAGTATGAACACTTTGAAATACTCTAAGATGAGAGGCCTAGGGATACCACTTCAATTAGGGTTGACAAGGGAATCTTTTCCTGAGTTCACCAATCCCTGCAGTAAGAAGTCACTGCAGCCATGATTCTCAAGGGTTGGATAGCACTGGACCTGGTGGAAAACCGTGGCATTGGCAATGCAATGCTGGTTTTGCAGGCATGCAGCATACCAAAGTTGTGAGGTCATAGAGGACCAGAAAATGTGAAGGAGTTTAAATCCCTACCAGGACCCCTGAGAAGATGATGTAATGCAGCTAAGTAAGTGAGGCTGAAACTGCAATGGAGAAGTTGAAAGTTGGAGCTGCCAGGAACATGGAATGTCTATGATCATGTAGTGGACACCAGGTCACTGACAGCTCCAGGACAAGTCTACTCGTTTCGTTTAGGAGTTGGAATCAGAAATCCTACTGCTCAGAATATGAACAGCGATACTCTCTTTTCCCTTTTCCTTTTCTCTGTAACTCCTGCTCAGCCCTCAAGCAATCATAGGATGGTTGTGGAGGCTGTTAACAGGAGCCTACAGGAGATACCACCTCTTAAGGACAAAAACCCTTTATTTCTGTTTCCTGAAGTTGTGTTTCTGAGAAGGTCAGGTCAACCTCTATTACCTCTCTTATTCTCTCTATAATCTTCACGCTTGGTTCTAAATGCAGATCTAACTGGAGAAATACACAGAAGATTATATAAAACCTCATGTTCCAGCAAAGGATTTTTAAGGAAGAGACAAAGGAAACCAAAAGTACATGGGAAACACCAGAAAGAAAGAAGTCTGGGAAAGCAATTCATAAACTTTTTAAAAATTAGTACATGTTTGCTGTACATAATGTTTACATTTCCTGTAATTGGTACATGTATATAACACATATAACTTCCTGTTTCCATCCTTTTCCCTTCTTCCTCCTCCTTCTATTGTCCCCCTTCCCATTTCAGAAAGATCTACCTCCCTACTTCCTATTATCTTTTATTTTGCTTTTTATTTATATTTTAGGTTTCTCAAAAAGAGAAACTATGTGATATTTAAACTTGTGTGTCTGATTTATTTCCCTGAACAGCATGGTCTCAAGTTGCATCCATTTTCCTACAAACAAACTTTTAGAAACTAACTTCTAGCTTTACTTCCAAACTGTATGTATATGGATCTA